TGAACTCATACATCAGAGTCAGAAATTGCTTTTGAAGATCCACCTCTGAACAAAGCAATAACACATCTCATTTTTAGGCTCCAATCCAGAATTTTGGTTGTGTAGATCCTCTCATGAACTCATGTGCAAAGGAGTGCCTCTTATTAGTTAACACAATAATTGTTATGATTTCTTGCTCTGTGTAAGTAATGTTTTTGCTGTTTCAGTGATGTGTATCTGAATGATTAGCTGAAATGGTCTGGATGGGCTTTGTGGAAAAAACAAATTGATGAATTCAAGACAAAACCCTCTGTAACTTCCAAATTAGATGCCTTTGGAGCCTAAAATGATGTTATAATAGATCTAGATTATTAATATTTATTATATTCCTCTTCTTGATACTCATTGTTTAATAATTAATTTAAACAATTCAGTCACTATTTAAAAATCTATAAAACACTGCTCATATTTTTGTCTCAGATATGGCAATACCCAACAGAAGCAAGTATTTTCCTAGGGTAGCTCTGGCAGTAGTACCTGCATTCAGTGTTAGTGTTTCCTGCCCCTGGGTGACAGTAACAGCTTCAGCTATAAAATTTTATAATGGTGTTAGCTGCAATTAAACTAAAACATAATACATGTCTTTAGGCTTGCAAGTTCTCTTGTATGCCAGTTCTTAAAAAATTGATAATTCAGAAACTGGTGATGACAACTTGCTGGGTTTTGGTTGGGTTGGTTTTTTTTTTTTTTTTTTTTTTTTTTTTTTTGGTTTTTTTTTTTTTAATAAATGCACTCCCATTACCCATTAGCCAGTTGTGGTTAGCTTGTCAGCTAAGAATAATAATTCTAAAACTAAATTGCAAGTACTTGACTACAATTGGCAGAGTGGCTTTACCTTGCTGGGTTTGGACCAAGTTTTGGATGATGGTATTGTTTATGGTGATGGTTTTATATTTCACTCCTTCACCCCTGTGCTCCCCCCGCCAGGTTCTAACTGTTTTTTAAAATAGAGAAAAAGATAGTAATAGAAATAAAAAAATAATATAGCAGTAGTAGTATAAATCAAAAAATATCAAGAACAGATTTAAGAAGCAGTAAATGTTTTTCTGCTTCCTAGACTTTGCTAATTCAGGGCTCATGACATGTATTGCACTTGAACCTTGGTTTGTAACCTCATATATGGTAATGAATGTCAGAAAATAGCAATTCCTCATTCCACCATTTCATTTTATTCCTTCTGCAATAAGATGAATTCTCTGAGTGCTGTGACTCAGGATGAGCTGGTGAATGGCCATTATGAAATGCAATTCTGGAGTACTTTAGAGTTGTTTTCCTTTTCCTCCAGACATTTAAACTCTGAATTGTTTGATTCTGACTGAATTTTGTTTTCCCTCTGGGAAAATAAACAAAGGACACATTTCCTTTGCTGTACTCTCTGAGTATTTTTATTCTTGTTTATTGCTGAGTCTTGAAAATTCAAATAGTCAGAACAACTTCCTATGAATAAATACCCTATACTGAAATACTTTTTGCTATCTAGAGTTTTAAAAAAATTTTAAAGAATTTTTTTGGCTCTCAGTGCTTTCATGGCTTGCAGAGTTTTAAAGTATGTTATGCTTTAAAACGGTGATATTGGAAGTGATTCTGTAAAAAGGTTTTTGGCTCTCATGCCACAGTGGTTGGGGGTTTTTTCTGCTTTAATTTTTTTTCCTTCCCCATGTCCCAGCTTTAGACCAAACTTTGGCCTCTGCAAGTAGAGCTGAGCTGGAGCAGCCTTTGCTGCAGCAGGCAGTGCTCTGTACCTGGCAGAGGCAGAGCATCAGTTCTGAGGGAAGTTGCCTTTGTGCTTTAAAGCTTTGTTTTGGTTCTCCAGAGGGTTCAGCTTTTCCCTTGAGCCTGGTCCTGCAGGTACCTGTGGCAAGGTCCTGAGCCCCCTGGTCTGACTCGGCCCTGCTCTGTGCTGGGGGATGAGATGCTCTCTCAGGCTCTGTCCTGCCTCAGGCAGAGAGGGAGCTGCCCTGTCCAGACCACGTGCAGGCTCACCAGCACCAGTTACTGAACTTCATCTGGCACACTTCTCCTATCCCTGTCTCATTAATATGTGAAATCACAGATTTTTTTCAGAGATTATTTTTTATCTTGTTGATGAGGGAAGCTGTAATCCAGGCATGCTTCCACACGAGTTTACAAGACTCCCTTTTATAAGATAAAGTTCTTGATGTGCAGTAGGAAGATGCCATTAGTGGCATGAGCTCCCTGTGGCTGATCAGAAGCAGTCTGGTCTCCAGAGCATGGTGCCACCATGCTGTCCCCAGTGACCTCTCTTGCAACTTCTGCCCTAATAATGTTGAAGGACTGCTTGATAAAATGCCTACTTAGCAGGAATCCCATGCTACTGAAACAGATTGTGTTAATGATTAAGTAATTTTTGACATAAATAAAAGGGTAGGAGATCTTTAATTTTTGTTTATATTTGATCCCCTGGTATTTCCCTCTATCTTGCACTAGCTTGTCTTTCCTCTAACCTGAAAGTAGTGTCCCCAGCCTCCCTTATTTTAGAAACATCCCAAGGTAGTCCTTCATGCATGTTCAGAAGGAGGAGCTGATGTTCTTTTTAGTTATTGTGACTTGGAAGTCCCATTATGCCTAGATGTAAGACATTTTTATTTCTTTGTCCTTCTACTAAACACCCTTAATTCTTCCTTTTGGTAGTAGGTTTCTGAAATCAGGTATTCACTGTTTTTTTTTTTTTAGCTTTTTTTAATAGCTGTCTAGCTAGACTGAGTAGAATGTAATTTTGTAGACTGACAGGTGCTATCAAATGCAGTTGTAGTTAAATCCAGAGAACTGATGTTCTAGAGCTTTGTAGTGTTTTGTGACAAGCTGAATAGTCTTTTGTATTCTGCATTGATACCCAAAATAGATTGAAATTATCTAATCTAACTGGCTGTCATAATCAGGGAAAACTGAAAAGATGTCTTCCTCAGAAGTAGAGTGTTTCCTGGAAATTTGTTTATGTTGTTACAGTTTCTTATCACAAAATCCTTTATATGGAGACATAGATTTAGAAACTAGATGGGCACTGCAGCAGGGGTGGTTTCAGTGGCAGTGTCACAGGAAGCCCAGGAACCACAGTGTGGGGTTTTCCATCAGAGCAGAAAGCCATGGAGGGCAGCACTCTGAAGTCCTGTGCTTTTGTTCGGCTTGGGGTTTTTATTCTCTCCCTGACATTCAGCAGGACGGAGCAAATGAGTTTAGGGAGGCCTCATCAGGAATGTCACAGTGTTGACTTAGGTTGCCTGGCCACCCTCAGGGCGTCTGGAGCTTTTGGAACCAGTGGCCTCAGCTAATAATCTCTTTGCTTCAAGGTGGCTCCGATTTTCCCCAGTGTTGTGGAAATTGTTTCTGAGGAAAGCTGCCCAAAGGGCAGCACTGGTGTATATAGGCAGTTCTTTCTTTGGCTGTCCTGCTGTAAAAGATTTGCTTAACCTGTGAGAACAGAAGGAGACCATATGAAAGTGGGTCCCGTCCCCAGTCCCATTCACCCTGAACACAAGCTGAAAATTTTGGTCTGATGTTTTCTTGCCATTGATACTTGAGACCTCAGAAGATTGGCTGTCACAGAGGGCCCCTCTGTTTACCATGTTCTTGTTCCAGCCTGAGCTTTGAATCTGTGGATTCCTTGGCATTTTATAGTGGAGAGCAAAATAATCTTTATTTCTGTAGTATTTGGGTATACTTGTCCCATTTTCATGGTGAGTACATCTGGTATTTGTAGAGCTTAGGTAGTGTCTATATTGGGCAGAGGTAGGAAGCCTCTCTTCAGTAACTGCTAGAGCTTGAAAGTGTTTAAGTCCTTCAATTAGTGAAATTATTTTGGAAGTCAGTGTCCTGGTTGGCTAAATACTGGTATTATGATCTAATATTTTTTCCTCAAAGGTACTTCAAGTGAATATTTCTGTTTCTTCCTTGAAATTAGCTGTGAATATATGAATGACTTGGATGCAAGAATACTCACTCTAGTCTGCAGTGCTGAGACATAGGCTCAGATCAATCACACTCTGTGTTTGCAGCACTGTCTTTCCATGTACTTGTCTGCCCAGGTAAAATTTGAATACTTGAGTGTTGTAGGTTCCACGTTTTACCATTTTTAACCTTTGTCTGTAGAAGTTGCCTCAGCAGAAGTATGGAAGCAACTTGTTATAATCTCAGGGCTCACAATATTGGAAAATACTTGGGGAATGATTTTTTCCTGTTTTAAAAAAGGAAGTCTTATGCTCAATATCTACATTAAAAAATGCACAAGAGAAACCTAAAAGAATAGCTAGGTTTTTTTCCCTTGCTGCTGTTAAACGAGTAACTTGCTGCTGTGTTCTGCACAGCATCTCTGATCACAACTGCATTGGTTTCCTGTAGAGAAAGTACTCTGTCAGGTTCAGGAGTGGTGTCCTGGTCCTTGCAAACTCTCACTGATTTGTGTCCAGGATACCTGAAACATGCACTAAATGACCAAACTTAATCTGCTGTTACCAAAATCAGTAGCCTCTATTTTTCTTTTATTCTTACATTGCTGTGAAAAATACCTTTTGTGAGAATATAAATGGTAGTACTTGTTTTGCAGACTCTCTGGGGGAAAGAGGGTTGTCTGCTGCATGTTTAGAGAACCTCTAAAAAATAACATACAATCGTCTATAGAAGATTTGATTTTTCTAATTTTGGTGTGGTTTTGTAATTTTCAAGTGAAGATGGCTGTTGGACTGCTTCTGAAGTATGCTGTTACTTTGCATAATCCCTTATGCTCGTGTAAGCTTGTAATATTCTAAGACATTTTGGCTTTTAATATAATGTTATCTTTTGTACAAATAATAAAAATGTAGGTGTGAAGTATTTTTCTTTCCCATTTGAAAGCTGTTAAATAACATAACTGCTTTTTTGCCTGCTAGAACTTCTGTAAAGATCTGATAATAAACTGAATCTGTGATGAAGGGGCTAACTTTCTCATTTCATTTTGACTTCTCTAGAGAAGTTGGAGGTTGCACCACCATCTCCAGGACAACTGAGACATGGTAAAAGAAGAATGCTTGTTGAATGTGGTTCAGTATTTGTGCAGTCTCTCTTTGAATTGGCTTCATCTTTGTTCCACAAGTGCTGGTCTGTCCTCATCCCTGTTGTATGGAGTAAGAGACAACCAAAGCAAGCACCAACACTCACCCTGCCGTCTTTGTTTCATAACACCTCGGCTGGAGAAAGAACAACACTTAGTGAAAGTAGGACAGAAAGCCCAAATGAGAGCACACTGTTCAAAGCCAGTAGCAAACACTGTTTTTCTAAGCCAAGCAGTGCTGGTGCTGCAGTGCCTTGTGGAGGTTTTGTGTTTTAAAAAGACTGAGAAGTGGTATAAAATTGCAGAGAAATTGGAAACAGATTGTGCATTTATAATACCATGATTCAAATTCTGATTTCGTTTCCAAATTAGTATATTTTTGTGGTTTTATATTCTGCAGTGAGCAAATTTATTTAGGCAAACATTTTCCTTTTCTAATTATCTACATTTTTTCTAATTTGTTCCCCTCCCTTTGTCCCTGGGAATCTGTTTGCTCCATGATTTCCAAAATTCTGTGCATTTCAACAAGAATTTGAGATCCCAGTTTAGCTCCAGTACACACATGTTGAAAATACTGGGCATATCTGTGCGCTTGTTTTGTTGTTTATGTTTTGGTGGGTTTGTCCTGTGATAATTTAAAAATAATTGGAACGTTTCTTAGGTTTTGTGCTGTAGTCTTTTACCTGTGCAATTTAGAAAATAGGTGTATTCTCACAAAATAGTTACAGATGACCATTCATCTTCTAGTACCTAAGCATGAAAGATCTTGAATGTGGCTTTGGTTTTTTTGTGTCATGGATTCATACTGTCTGTAGAAAGGAAGCCTAAAAGGTACTGGATACCAGTTTCTTTTCACATGACTGAGATTCATGCACTCTTCTTTCGTCCCTCTTCCTAGGTTTGCATCTCTTTAAGTTTATAAAATCTAGGCATTATAGTCCAATGTAAAGTGAAACAAAACCCCTGAACTCCAACAAAATCCAAATTGAATGCTGCGTTTTAAATGTTAAAAAAAATATGAAAAATTTAAACTTTCAGCTGTATTGTTGTCATGTAGTCTGTTCTCATGCTGTATTTAGTCTTATGAAGTGAGAACCTTGAAACTCAGCTGGAAACAATGCTGTGCAAATTCAATCCCACCCCCATAAAAAGCTTACAAGCTAAACCTGAGAGAGAAAATGAAGCAGGACAAAAAGGAATGATACAGTAGCAGTGTGCTAATTCTTAGAAATTACTCAGACCAGCATGTTCCAAGCTTCTGCAACAGAAAATATTTTCAGAAAGGATTTAATGGGTTTCAGAAGTTAAAAAGAAGAAAATGTGTGAAACAAAAGGTGGAGCTTGGTTTCTTAAGCAGTGTATTAAAAAGCAGCTACAAGTTTAACTTGCACTGAAGATAGTGCACAAACAAAATCAAACACAATTCACAATTGAAATTGTGAGATAACTAACAGTATATGACACCCTAGTGAAACCCACCTTAGCATTTGCAGATTTGGCTGAAGGAGTTTTGACAAGAATTGTTTAGCTCCAGACAATGCTTTTAAAATATGAAATTTTAGGAATGTGTGAAGAAGATGGAGCTCTTGAACCGAAACAGCAAGGGACTTGCAGAGAAAGGTGCTTTATTTCAAGAAGTCTGGTGAGATAGTTTGGTGATCTTCAGTGATACTGCAACATCACTGTAAGGTCTGCAATTGGTACCAGAGTTCGTGTAGTTTTAAGTATTTCTCTTATGCACTAGTAGGAATAAGTGGCTTCCACCTGAAATTGTAAAAATATTTGCCAAGTAAGTTGTTTAGCTGGTTCTTCTCAAGCCATTAGTAACATTTCTGTGTAGCAAAGGGTTTTACCACACCTGCCTGCAACAAAAAGGTGACCAGTAGGAAAGGAATTTTGTGTATTTTGCCTTTGTTTCTCTTTAAACCAATATTAGACGTTTCAGTTGTTCCTGTGCACTAGTGAACTCTCTTATAAATATTTATTTTTCTTTGTTACTTATTTCTTTTAGTGTTCTTCCACAATGCATTACCTTTTGTAGGGTTTGGATTTTTGGATAACGCAATTATGATTGCTGCGGTAAGTTCACTGTTTAATTCCTTGAACAGTTCTGTAAGATTCACATTTTTCAAGGGAACAGAATAGAATGGCCTGTGAGGTCTAGTCTAGAAAGTCCCCCTGCTCAGGACCTTCTCAGGGTCTCTAGTCTAACTTCCTGCTCAAAACAGAGCCAGCTGTAAGATGAGACCAAGTTGTTCATGGTTTTATCCTGAGGGACTTGAGAAATCCAAGGGCAGCCTGTCTGACCAACTTGTTCCAATGCTCAGCTGTCCTCAGGATGGAAAATGATTTGCTGTATCCAACTGGAACATGTCCTGTTTTAGTTCATGCACATTGTCTCTCATCTTTCGACCATGTACTGGTGTTTCATAATGTAGACCATGTGGTTTTGTTTCTTCAGCTTGAAAACATCAGGAGCTGTGATACTGTGTTTTATTTGTTTGCTTGGTATTTGTAGAAGTTTTTGTTCAGAGCTCTACATTCAGCTAAGAATTGCAGTGGGGAAGATGCTATAGGGATAGGGGTTGCAGGTTTGTCTCCCAGCTGCCTGAGAGAGTACATATGAAATATTAGAAGACTTTCAGAAGTAGGCCCTTGCCTTCGGGGGAATATATGCCAGGAAGATAAGATCTCTGTGATCTAATAGAAGAAATGTCCATTTATCCTTTCAGTTTTAACGTAGACAAGCAATAAACAATACTTTTGTCAGTTGTATCAATATAATTTATTTTAACTCCAAATCCCTCAAATAATGAGAAAACTGTTTATTTTTCAGGGAACCCAGATAGAATTGTCAATTGGCGTTGTCTTAGGAATTTCAACTATGGCAGGCAAGTATTAAAATTGCAGCACATTTAGATTAATATGGCACATTCCTATATTTTAAGCTGAAAGTAGCATGCAGGGCTGGAAATGGCTCTTCCTGAGTCTTGCAGCTGCCTTTCCTAATAAAGAAACAACCTCTGGGTGAAGTTAGGACATATTCCATTTGTAGAAATGGAATTTCAGTTCAAATAGCTTTTGAAGTGTTTGTTGTTGATTTCAACCTAATATTTCAAATCCTGGGTCGGTTGGGAAAGTGTATTTGAATTTCTGTAATGGAACTGCTCTAAATTCCCCAGGGCCCAGTGTCAGTGCATGTGGATATATGTGTTTGTACGTTGCTGTTAGCTTGCAGTGCTAAGGGGAGATCAGTGTTGGTGTCTTTTTGCTGCACTTCTTGGTGGCTCCTCTGCCTTGGTGAGATACCACAGGAAGGCCAAGCAGCCATCCTGCCCTGCACTGGGCCAGGACTGATAAGCTCTGCTCAGCAGCTTTGGTGCCTCTGCAGTGTCAGAGGGTGCTCATGCATCCACCAGCTGCAGGTGCAGCATTGCTCAAAAGCACAGGGAGGGAGAGCTTAACTGAAAGTGTTACAGCAGAGCAAGTTAAAGATTTGGAAATTTGCAGGCCTTGGTTCAATGTGAGACAGTCACAGGGAAGCTTATCCTCGTAGGGTCTGCTGTGAAATCTTGTATTTTGTGTGTAACTTTGTTCACTTGTGTATAGTATTTCTTCTTAAATTGACACAGTTCATGGATATATTGACATGTTTATCAAAGCTGCATACCTGAGCCACAGCTCCTTCTATTTCCAGTGCTCCTGTGCCTCTTCAGGCACTGGAAGGCCTTGCTTGGTGTCCAGCATTAGCTTCATGGAGCTGACAATCATGCACAGCTGTTCCTAACTCTGATCAAAAGTTATGTTTATTTCCAGGTGTTAGTGTTGTCTTTTTGTATTTGTCAAGTTTTCTTCATGTAAATTGAGAAAAATAGTTGCACCTTTTATTAATTCTAATCTGCTGCTGTTATTGTAATCAGGTCAGAAGAAAAACACTAAAATATAAGGAACTTAGGTCTAGTCTTTATATAAATTGAGAGTATGTGAAGGTCACTGGAGGGTGGGAGCTGGTTGATTTTGTTTGTAGCTAAAATAATACCTTTTTCTCTTCCTCCCTCCAGCTGCAGCTTTGGGAAACCTTGTTTCAGATTTAGCTGGACTGGGGTATGTATGAACTTGTGTTAAGAATATTAAGTGCATTCATTGAGATGCAAAGTGGAAAAATAATTTTTTTGTAATGTAATATAGCTCTGCCTAATATACCTTCTCAGGTTGTTATCCCCAGATCTGAAGAGATTTCTTTCTCCTCAGCTAAAAAAATATCTCTGCAATGTCTTCAGTCCTATGCGTACCTATTTCTGATAAAAACAGATACAGCTTATTTTAGTTTTTACAGGAAGTTCCTGCATAACTGCTGAAAGTAAAGCTGTTTGTTATGCCTGTTTTTCCCACTTTCCCTCTGTTTTGTTTTCTGCAAATTACAAGGCTTGCCACTAACTAGTCTCTGTGTGACCTTTCCTCCAGTAAAGGTTACTTAAAAAGCTCTGCAAAAATGCATTAACATTCACACCAGTTGTGTTGTACTGCATAAGGTTTTTTAGAAATATTGTATCTTAAATCAGTGAAGTAATTAAATTACATTGCAAAATGTGACCTTTAGAAGTTTGAACTCTGTCCCATAGTTTTCTCTCAATCACTTTATTGGTATGCTGAAGGAAAAGCTCTTGTTTTTAAATTCAAGTATTTCAAAACCCTCACTAGAATATACTGTGAGATTCAAAATAATTTGTTCTTGTTTTCTTGTTCTTCAGTCTTGCAGGTTATGTGGAAGCTTTGGCTTCCCGACTGGGTCTGTCAATCCCTGACCTGACACCCAAACAAGCTGACATGTGGCAGACCCGTCTCAGTGCACACTTGGTGAGTATCCTGTGGGCAGCACTGCTGGTGTGGAGCTTTCTGTGTTTAAACTAGCTGATAAATGCTTTTTGTCAGTTTTTCCATTTATTCCTTAATGACACCAACTTTGTGCATATTCCCCAGATGGTTTAATCTTAAGACCATGTCAGGGAAAATCAAGAGATTGGATTTTTTTGAGCTTGAGTGGTTTTTTTTTTTGTATACAGCAAGGCCCAAGTGACATGGATAGTGTCTGCAATGACTTTGTGTGTGCTGTGCAGATACCTGGGCTGAGCTCTGGCTGTGATGATAAGATAATTTACTTGGACGTTATGACCACTTAGTAGTTTACTCCTATACATTCTTTGTCAAGTGCTTGCTATTCATATACCTGTGCTGGTTTGTACTAATTTCTAATATTCTATAATTAGCTCAGATATGAAATCAGCTTTTCTCCAGTCAAACTTTTAGCATTTGAGTAGTATTCACTGCCTGTGTTTACAGTTACAGGACACTCACCTTGCAGGTGCATTTTCAGGGTGATTCCTTACTTAACATTTAAATATTTGAAGTGGTCCCACTTCAGCAGTCAGAGCAATGATTCAAGAAACAGATTATCAGCAACTGAGTAAAGAAACAGATACTTCACTTTGCCAGAATGAGCCTTCATTGGGAAAAATACTTTTGCAGATTTAAGGGAAAAAACATAGCACTTATTGAGGAAAAGTTATGGTAGAAAAAGTCAGGTTTTAGCAGTGATAGATCAAAGCACAGAGCAGTGAAGAGTTGGCATGTTGTCAGGGGACTGCCCCATAGTCAAAGAGTCTTCTCAGTGAAAGCTGAGCCTGTGGCAAAACCCTGTCATTGCACTCAGTTTGTGGATATTCCTTTTCTGTGAAAAGACTTCTGTGCACCTTTGCCTGTATGTAGCATTTTATCTTTTTTACCTGCTGTCTCAAGTTTTAAACACCATCCACCTACTGCTATTGATGTGGTTTGGATGCTGCTTGTCTTACTTTATTTCCTCTCCTCTTGACTTATACATTCAGTCAACTGAAATGTTTTCCAGTTTTTGTTGGTTTTGCCTTGTGCCTTTGAAAGCCATCATGTTTGCAAGGAGCCACTCATTCCTTTGATGATTTGCAGTACCAGATACAAGCAGATGCGTTTATAACTGCACCTAAAATGTGTGTAGGTGTTGTTTGGTGGTTTGTTGTTTTGGTTATTTTTTTTCCTTTTCTGTCTTCCTGGCCATTCTGCTAATCCTTTGAATGTCTGTTTCCTCCCTTACCACTTGTGCAGTTCTTTGTGATCATTTCCCTTCTTCTTCAGAATTGTCTTTTGTCATAGCAGACACTGTTTCTAACCTTGTCATATCTGTCTCTCTCTCATAGACTGTTTCTAGTCTGCATGCTAAAAAAAAATGTGAGTCCCGGCTGAAAACTAGAACACTTGTCATATCTGTCTCTCTCTCATAGACTGTTTCTAGTCTGCATGCTAAGAAAAATGTGATTCCCGGCTGAAAACTAGAACGAGGGTTGTGTGTCCCTGGTTGTGGTGATGCATGGGAAATGAGCAATAACTGATCAGTGAAAAACTTAATTTTTCCCCCTCTTTCTTTAGGGTAAAGCTATTGGAGTGACCATTGGCTGCATTTTAGGAATGTTTCCTTTGTTGTTCTTTGGCGAGGAGGAAGAAAAACTGGAAGAAAAATAATAATCTTTTTACAAGACATATACAAATGTAAACTACTGTACCTCAATTATTCAATTATGCTGTCAATATTTAGGAATTAACAGACAGTAAAAAAATGTATAGACTTGGGAACAAAACCTTCAGCATGTCATTTTATGGAAACACTAATTTATTGTGGCCTTGTTGTGTTCAGTACTTCTTTTTATAAGATATCATCTAACTTTTTATTTAATTGTAAATTTTTGAAGTGTTTTCACTTATGGCAAGATGTTTACCACTTTCCCCTTTGAACTTATTCTTTAATGGATTATTACTTCAATAATCCATCATGGATGACAGTATCACTCTTGAGTTGCATATTGGTTGCTTAACAGTTGTAATTGCATGACAGAAATATCACTGGTGTTCATCAGGTCCTTCAATGCAGATTATTCAGAAGATCAGTGATGAGTAATTTGAAGTCCCTCACTTTGCAAGGAGACTGGTCACCCCTCACCAGCCATCATTTTGCACTGCCTTAGATTAGATATTTCAGTGATCTTTGACAGTATAATCGTGGTTTTTTTCACAATTCTGACTTAAGTGTCTCTGAATTGTCTTCTGAGATGATCATGTTGATGCTTTGACAAGGTAAGTGTTTCCAGTGTAGGCTCTCTACCAAGTCCATTTTTAAAGTGGTGATTTAACACCTTCTGTACTTCCATATTCATGCCTCTTTTTTCCCTTTCTAAACAGTGTTTTGTGAATTGAGTTGAAATATGCTTAAATTTGTCTTCCTCTGTTTTGAGTGTGGTATTAAAGAATTCAGACCAACTGTTTCAAAACCACAAACAACTTTTTTAATTGTTCTGCTTAATATAAGGTGTGAATAGTTGATTGGGTAGATGAGGCCAGGGAACGGTTCAGGGTATGAATGAATGCTGGCATTGCAAGTTTGTTATGAGTGGTTCAGTTGAAATAATAAGTGTACCATCAGTCTGGATTAGAGGATCTGATTTGATGATACTACCTTTGTGTTTAAGATTAAGCCTTTGCTACTTTTTTTTTTTTTCCTGAGACAAGTAGTTAAAAAAAAAAAAAACAAAAAAAAAAAGGAAAAAGGCCCCAATTCCCCTTTTTTTTTTTTTTTTTCCTGAGACAAGTAGTTTTAAAAAAAACCAAAAAAACAAGCAACAAAAATAGGAGAATTGAGGCCTTTTTCCTTTTTTTTTTAGTTTTATTTTTGTAGTCTTACTTGGCGTATTATAGACCTGACAGTGCAGTATCATGTAACTGTGCTTTTTTTATATGGTTATGAATAAAATGATGACAACTATTGAATATTCATGATATTTCAGGACCTTACTTGCCAATAGCAAAATGCTAAACTGCTAATTGTCCCTTAGAGGAGAAGGTTTCTTACTTGTTTGAACACCTTTTGGAAAAGCCACTAAAAAGTGGCACATCCAAGGCACTTTGAAAGTTGTATTGCTGAAATTGCTAGCACTTCTGAAACCTAGAAAGAATTGTTAAAAAAAAATCAAGTCCCCTGATGATTTTTATTTGCTATAGGAAAAGTCTTATTGTAACGTGTGTGTTTTACAAAGCTCATTGCTTATCTCGTTATAAATCTGACTTCTCTGTTCTGATTTCTAGAAGCCCTTTAACAGCAATACTGAAACTGACTTTCATGAAGGTGACACTTGTATCTGTTTCTTAAAAAGCAGATGTTGAAAGCTTGGAGTGGGTAGTCCTAATAGTATGTGCTGCACTTTGCACATTAAACCAGGAAAATCTGGACCAATCTGTAAAACCAAATGAAAGCTCAGCCAAGCATCAAACACAAATGCAGAGGAGTTTCAACTTGTGTTTCAAAGGTGGAAGCTTTATTAAAATAAAATTAAATAAAAATCCAAATAACAACAACCCCCACAACTCTAACAGAAGAAAACCAAACACCAAACCAAAAAACCCCAACCCACAAAAACAATCCAGAAAGGCAATTATGCACTTTCACCAATAGACTGCTGCTGGTTTACAGTACTTCAGTGTTCAGAAGTTTTTTTACTCATCCACACATTTCTCTTGCCTTGAACTTTTAACTTTTCTGCCTCTGCATGCACTTTTTTTTTCTGTACAAAGCTGTATGCGTTTTCCACGTTTTTCTTAAACTGAAGTACAAGTCAAAGCAATTTTGCACAGCTTCTTTTGTTGCTGTTTTTACAATTACTTCAACACTGTTTTCCATTATGATACTGGCATCTTGATTGGAATCTTCCAGCAGTGGCCAAATCTCTGTTCTTTGGCATTGTACCATCACAACACTGTTTTCATCACTCTGTTACAGCTCATGAGAACAATTGGAAGGTTGTGCCAGCTGTCACATTAGTATTTGTTTCATAGTGGCAATAGGAAAGACTGTGTACTATTGTTAAATAGCTTGTGCATGTAAATTGAGTACCTTTTGTTGCTGTATGTCAAACTGTTGTACTGCAACCAGTGCTTTTATTGAGAATCAATGAACTAAAGTATCTTGAAAGAAGTTAATCATGTGTCGTCTTGTTAAACTGTTTAGTTGACCACAAAAATGTGGAGGGCAAGTGACACATGGTAAGAAATATTGGGTATTTCAGTCTGATACCAAAATGAAGAAGGTGACTTCTGGGGTTTCAGTATTTGATAAAGGTGAAGGATAACTTGTGATGTGAGAGGATTGGTGGTGCTGTTGGAGGCTCAGAGAAGGTGTTTGTTGGGGCCAAGCTGCCTCCCTGAGAACGAGGTAGTTTCCTTTGGCTGCAGGATCCACTCTTGTGTGGACATGGCACTGCTTTTGTATGGAAGGGAAGATCTGTGCCTGATCTGTGCCCTGTCTCTCCACGAGGAGAATGGGTTTTTCTGGGGTATATGGATGAAAGTAATCCCTGATGCTCTGATTACACTTACTAAAAACCTAACTGAGAAGACAGAGTCCCCTTTATTTTCTGGTATCTTCTCCCTCCTTGATAAAAGGAAAAACAAAACACTTGTTAAGAGACTTCAGTATTGCTCTATTTTTTTTTATTCTATCAGTTTGTCCTGTGTTAACAGGAATTTCTTTTGCCTTGAAGGGCTGGTAGACCCAAAAATTGTGTTTGAAATACTGTCTTCCGTTGTAATTTAAATTATAAATGTATTTTTGACTGTATATTATCTCTAGGAACAAAGAACATGCATCTGATGATAGGGTTACCCAAATCTTCTTGCCAGTATTTTCTCATGCATGTACTTTTGCATAAATTATTTGAATTCAGACAACATATTTTGTATTGTCTTTAATTAAATTGTTGAACTTTCTGTAAACTTTTGTACCACAGCAAAGCTGTTCTGTGTTTCTTTATTAGACCAGATGCTGGAGGGGAAATATTAATAATATCCTGTGGGTATTCAGCCTCAGTTATACAAAACAGGAATTTATTATATTTAAGTTATAAGCAAGTGGTCCTTTGTCACTGTCATAGGAAATACCACTATGGAGTGGTACTTCTGTCTCTTTATGCTCAGAAGAGAGCAATTTAAATCATTAAAATATTTGCATGGAAAACTGGTGGTGTTTGTGATTAATATTAATAAGAAGTTCACTTGCACTTGAGCTTTTGGAATTAACTGAGGTTTTTTGTATGCAAACCTTCAAAACCTTTTTGAACTTTCCTGGACTTTGGAGCTCCTCAGTTTTTTTTCACTTGTTGGTCAGTCCTTTTTGTGGATGTCTGTGCAAGAAGTGCTGTAAGTAAAACATCTGTACTGTAAGGATGGTCTCATTTAATTTTGAGAACCTGTACAGGCTGGCTGTTGTTTTACTCCATTGTGGTTGCATTGTGTAGTTGAACTTCATTCCTGCTGTTCAGAGAGTCTGTCACACTTCTACCTGACATTTCCCTCTTCTTGGTCTGATGTTTTACATGGTCTAATGACAAGCTGACAGAGCAGCAGTGTATAAACTGAAGGTCTTAATAAAGTATGGAGGAATTATCACCCTGCTCTGAGAGTCTTATGCCTCTGGAATTTTTCAATCTAAAATATTAAGAATATAGCTGGACCTCATAACACAAATTCAAGCTCCCATTTTAAAGTCTTTATTAGATGTTTGTTCAGGCTTTTCCCTTGTCTCAGTGTTCAGGACCCTTGGCATCCAGAGTGTTGCTTCAAAATAGTGTTGGGGCAGGGCAGGGGCTGTGGGCTGAGGGTTTGGGCAAACTTAAGATTCTGAAGCCAGGCAAGATAAACGCAGAAGGAACTTGTTGGAAGACAGCTGTGTGTGTTAGAGTGCTGATGTAGTACTTCTGTAAGTAGATGATGCCAAGGTAAGGTCTTTTGCGGGCAGAAACAGTTCTGACTTAACAGTCTTCAACTTAGTAGTGAACACTATGTGAGCAAATTGCTTAAAGAACTAAATGCTGCTTCACACTCATGAGTTACTCCTTCTGTGTGTGTGTGCAAAGATTAAGTTCATGTAAAATGCCAAAATTATTTAAGACCTTTAATTCATTTTGTGTCCATTTTGTGTTCTATTCTTGGTATTGTGCTTATCAGAGTGTCTTGTTTTTGTCTGTTAGTGTGAAAAGGACCTTATGATTTTGCCTGTAGAGCTTAAGCACTTCCAAACATCTGAGCATTGATTTATCTGTTAGGAAATAGAGTATCTTGTTATGGAATATGAAGGGTCCTGAGTGGGACTATTCACTGTTGAGAAAACTTGCATCCAAAGGGTGAAATTTGCCATATGGGACCTACTGCTGCCATTCCTGTTGAGATGAGGTTTCCACTGAGCAGTACCATGGATTGGTAGAACAATAACAGAGAGCGCTGCCTTGCCTTTACACAGCACTGCTGCTTGGGTTTGGCAGGGTGGTCTGTTTGCACTGTGGTGTTTCTCTGTAGTTTTGTGAAAGTGACTTGTCTGTTACTTCCAGCTAGTAACAAGGAAAGTTAGGAGAATGAGATTCTTCTCAGTCATTCTCCCTACATGGGGATGCATCGGGGTCTTATTAAAAGAGGGAAAAAAAAAAGATTTTCATTCGTGATACTGTCCTGCTGTTCTCTGTGCCTTCAGAGCCCTTTTGATGTGCTGGAACATTGGAAGATACCAAAGGGCTGGTGAGGTTTGCCTCCCCCACACTGGCTTCTCTGTCATCTCTGCTATTGAACTAGAGAAGGAACCATCAAATGAAAGGGATACAAAAGGACAGGGGTCCTTGGACAGGAAGAGAAGAATGTTTGCAGGTTATTTGCCTTTGCAATACAAGTGGCAAGCTACCAAAGACCACACCGAAAGCCAGTTGGATATTAAAAGGGGAACAACATCTTTTGGTGAAGTTTCAGGTAGACTTTAATGAATATCTGTGATTGTTTTCTTTCTCTGCATGGTTTCTGCTGTTACTGGCCCCTTTTTGTGTAGGAACACTGGAGAGTATAATTTTCCTTTTACACACTGTGCTCCCTGAGAGCTCCACAGTATTCTAAGGAATGTCAGGACTGGAGAAGAGTCTGCAACCAGAGCCACTGTTTGTAGGAAAACATCCCATCCCTATCACAGCCCATGCTGTCATGGGCAGTCTCATCTTCATTTGTATTCGTCATTTGCATTGTAAAGGGAAGCAGACACTGGGATAGTTTCTCTGAGAAAAGAAATGTTTTTCTTGGATTGCATTCATTTGTGGCAAGGGTTATTGTGCTGACATGCTGAGGAGCAGGGCAGTCCTTCTTGTGGCTATTAAAAAAAGAAGAGGTTCCTCCTGACTCCCCACTGGAAACCTTAATATCTCATAGGATAGTCCTCTCCTAATCTCTGCAGTAGGTGAATGGCCTGGCTGTAT